GCTTGCGGGAGGGGGCCAGGCAGGGCTCCCTCCTGGCAGAGGCCAGCTGTCGGCGAAGAGGCGGATCTGGGGAGGGCTCCCACGTACTTGAATCAGACTCTTTATTGACAGTGAGACCCCGTGGCGGGGGTCCGGCTATTCTGTATAAAGATGGTGCTAGCTCCGAGGCGCTGTACGTCTCTATGAAGAGGTCGCTCGTGGGGGTGGAGAAATCAGGGACACCTCCCCATACACATACACACACCCTTTCACCGAGCTTACCCCGCGAATATGCAGGTTCCCTCAACTCGCTGCTGTGTATCGGGGCGGGGGAAGGGACCACCCAGATGGACCAGTCCCGGCCTCACATTGTTTTGGAAAGGGGTCCTCTGTATTAGTGTTGTAGAGGGAAGCGGCACTCGAACGGGGCGGCGGGGAGGTAGGTTTGGGTGGCGGGTTTAAAATCGCGTGGCTCCTCTTCCTCTGCCCCAAGGTCACTGTTTGCAGTCCCCCATAGGCGCATCCACACAGCGCACGCATCGTGGTGTTGTTTTCACCAGCCGTTTGGAGATAGTAACCCTATCTTAGCGTGTTTTGACTGTACTGTGGGCCAGCCCTGTGTTTTGTAACCACTGGGAGTCTCCTGAGGACGTGCACGTTGCCCGATCAGAGTTGTTGTTGTGCTCTTTTTTTTCCCCCTCGTTTTCCAAGAGCTCCTCCTACCAGTGGGATTCTCAGAAACAGGGTCATATTACAGCAAGCTCTCTAAGAACCCCACCAGTCCCTGTCCCTCCTGCTATTACCACTGCCATTGCTCCGGCGCTCGGGGGCTCTTTCCAGGAGGATGGACAGAGAGAAGGCTGTTTGTCTTTTCACACCCCTTCCCTGCTATTCCAACTGCCAGCGTGTTCCAGGCTTGGAGTCTGTCTCGCTACACGGGATTAAATTTGTCTTTCTCTGGTGGTCTCACAGGAGCCATTTGCAATAAGTCTAAAATACCTTATTGGGAGGTGCGTGTTCCTTTCCCTTTCTGGGTTTCTTTTCTACACTTTTCTCATTGTAACTACAGAGCGTTTTAAATGTGAATCTCAAAGTTGGAAAGCAGCTGAACTGATCATTGTGAAGTGTGAGTGAAGACTAAGATACATTGTTCACATATGGTAGCTAAACAACTTTAAAAAAACAAAACAAAACCTCAATGGCTGGATTGAAAAGATGCTGGCTGTTGTCAAATATATACACTTCGTAGCGGAGTGTTTGAATTGTGTTCCTGGTTTACAGGACTTGTCTTAATTAACATGTCTGTATTGAATAAATGTGGTCTTGTTTTTAGCTTGGGTCTGTGTCTTATTGACATTGAGGGAAGTGAACCCCTTTATATGAATTAAGCAGTAGTGTCAATCTTACAAATGAACATAACCCATCATCATTTTCCTTTTCAGTTAAAGAGATCTCCATTTTGCAGACAAAACAACAATCCGCATAGTCTGATGCAGCGGGACACCAGTTATTAATGCATTGAGATGCAATTGAGCCCCTTTGTTCGCCAGCAGCATTCTTTCTTAAACCAAGGGACACCCTTTCATGCTGACTCAGTGTTGCCTCAGGAATTCATAAGTCAAATCATACTTGACCACAAAATTGATAATGTAGTATATCACATTTGAAGGAGGAAGGAAGATGAAGTTATTCATGTTCTTTTTATTTCCAACTAAACTGAGCTATGGCGTATGAAGGGTGTAAGCTCATACATCTTAGTAGGAATAGACTTAATCATGTTTATTAAAAATGATGGTGCTAATTAAATTTTAAACATTCTGAATGTTTAGTTTGCTAGGTAATCTTGTTTGACTATTTTAAAATCAACAAATGAGTTTAGATTTGATTTATACGTATACTACACAACAATTTCCCCTTTTCTCTCCTCCTTTCTCACCCATGAGCACTGGGGCAAAAGCTGTTCCTTTGAAGGTCTGATCCCACTTGAAAGAAAATGGAAGATGTTTACCTTAGCCTGAGCACTTTGTTACTTGAACAGTTCATTCTTTCTGAAGGTCAAATTTGATCCATAAACTACTTTGTCAGGACATATTTTTGTGGTGATATACATTATCTTTGGTGCTTAATTGTGTTTAATGTTCATCTGACTTATTAATTTCATGGTTTTTTTTTACCTAAGATGGTAGTAAATAAGCATTATACTGTTCTTTTTACCAGCTTTTTCTCCTTTTTTCTAATTTGTAAGCAGATTTGTGGACATGTAATGTGATCTTTCATAATAAAACATATAACTTGAACATGGTAAGCACAGACTTCAAAAACCTTGTGACATCTAATTCCTAACATTTTAAACAATTTTAAAATCAAAGTTTCATAATTTATTCTGTTTACTTTTCTGCATTTCACACAGCTAGGACTTGCTTTTACTTGAGTTCTTGTATTTAGCAGAATGTTGCAATATTTAAGTTGTAAATACTGCGGAGAAATTATTTTAAAATATAAATTTAATTCATTCTTTAAATCCTTGAAATCTAATATGTACAACAATCTGAGGCAAATGTGGCTATGTGCCATAATAACTTTACATCTATTCATTTTCACATTTTTGTCTGATAGTTCCAGGGCTAGAGGTGCACCTATTGTGCCAGTGGTTATTTAAAACCTGGAAGGAACAGTTGAATTATCTGGGCCTATTTAGTAATCTTATTAAATACCTAATTCGGCTAATGCAATGTCAGTATTTGTGGAACTTTGGTTAAATATGAGTGTATAAAGTAAAACAGCTCCATACTAATACTTAAGACTTTTTATCATTGTAATTTATATACAGAAATTCTACATTTCCTTTCCAAAACCCAAATACAGTTCTGTGTATATTGATAAGTTAACTTTACAAGTGCCCTTTGTAGTCAGTGAAAGGACAGAGCCACTCCTTCAAAGGATTTTACCAGAAGAATACATTTCAATAAACTTCCAATTGGAATGAGACTAAGAGAATAAAAGAGTGAATTTCATTGACAAGCTGGTTTTTAAGCTTTCTAAATTGCATTTAAAGTAGACTTTTCTCTTTCCTCTATGCAGGACTCAGATCTGTGGCTGGAAAAGGGCTCCATTGAGTTAAGAATTGTGTACAGTGTGTGTAATGGTATTTGTATAAAGGGATTTTGGCACTCATTTTGGATGATTTTCAAAACTCTCTCCAATGCTGCTACCACTTGTAACATGAACGTACTAAACACATGCCAATAACCTTTTCACATTCCCCTCCATATAAATCTTAAGAAAATTCTTTTTCAAAATAGAGATTGCATCACTATTTACACAAATAGACCTAATTTGATCTGTTTATCATTTTGGTTCTGGAAAACAAGACTCTCGCTACTTAGAACCAGTTGACAAATCTTTATAATCTTTTTATTGAATAATTTTTAACCTTCCCCCAAACATTAAATTGCAGTGCAAACATCGCTACACTGTCCTATGCATTACAACCTGGAAGCAAAACTTGCTTGAGAATGATTTGATAGTTTGCTAAATGGTGCAAAGATAAAAGTAAAAACTGTGAAATAAACTGTTTCCTAAATTTCTTTAAATATGCTTTGCTCAACTATGGTACACTCTAAAAAAATTGTGCTAGACATAGGAGAGGTATACAGAAAGATATGGCCATTGTCCTAAGTGCTTACATACTCATAAGACTTCAATGTGACTGACATACAGTACAAGGGAGAAGAAGAACTTGGGCTAGTTAACACAGAATTTACTCAAAACACCACCACTAGCTTCCACATGGTCTCTTTCCATGAGTCTCTCTGTTCTACTTATATCAAATCCTCCCCATTACTTTCTACTTTGCACATCATTTTGTGGCTCCTGCGATCATCTCTGACTCACATTGTTTGCCTGTTTTCATGCTGGTCCAAACAATATGAATGATATCTCATCCTTTGTTCTAAGCAGCCTTGTTATCCCGAATCCCTCTTTGAGTGCACTTACTTTACCTTGCTTTTCTTTGTTGATTTCTAGCTTTGCTCTGACTCAATCTGTTTG